TGAAGAAACAGTAACACAAATCTAGAAAGTGGACAATTCCATAAGACAACTGTCTTCCTGAACTCTCTAAAAAGGACAATGTAGCAGATATATACCCTAAAGAGTTGGAGGAAATGTTAAAAGAGACTAAAGAAAATTAATAATCCAAGGCAAGGCATGTACCTCGACTGGGTCCTGATTTGAAATTCCGGCTCTAAACAGAGACAATTGGGGAAATTTAAAAGAGCAAGATAAACTCAAATCAAGCAGCAGGAAGAAAAGAATGAAAACCAGAGCAGAAATAAATGAATTAGAGAATAGAAAAAACAATAGAAATAATTGATGAAACGAAAAGTTGGTTACTTGAAAAAAATCAACAAAATAGACAAACTTTAGTTAAACTGACAAAAGGAGGTGCTGGGAAAGAAGACTCAAGTTGTTAAAATTAAGAATTTAAGGAGCTATTACTGCTGACCCAACAGAAATAAAAAGGATTATAAGTGAATGGTAGGAACAATTATACACAAAACAATCAGATAACCTAGATGCATTGGATACATTTCAGAAAGACATAAATTGTTAAAACTGACTCAAGAAGAAATAAAAAGTCCGAATAGGCCTATAACAAGAAAAAAGACTGAAATAGAAAATTTTTTTAAAAATCCTGAATAGACAATCCCAGAACCAGATGGCTTCACTGGTGAATTCTATTAAACATTAAAAAATATATATTCTTTGTAAATTCATCCAATATTGAGTGAATGCATGCATGATGAATGAATGAATTGAATGAATATTGAATATTTATTTAATACTTTTCCATAATATTAATAAAAACACTCAATACACTAGCAAAAGAAGGGCAATACTTCAACATGATAAAGGACATCTCTGAAATACCCACAACTAATACAGTTAATGGTAAAAGACTGAAAAATTTCCCCCTAATATCAGGAGCAAGACGAGGATGTCTGCTTTTTCCACTTCTATTCAGCATCATACTGGAGGTTATATCCAGGGCAGTTGGGCAAGAAAAAGAAATAAAAGGAAAGAAAAATTACCTCTATTTTCAGAATATATGATCTGGTAGATTGAAAATTCTAAAGAATCCACAAAAAAGCTCTTCAAGCTAATAAACAAGTTCAGCAAAGTTGCAGGATGCAAGATTAAAATCCAAAAATCAGTTTATTTCTAGACATGAGCAATGAACAATTTGTAAGTGACGTTGAGAAAACAATGTCACATACAATAGCGCCAGTAAGAATAAACTACTTATGAATAAATTAAACAAAAAAAGTGCAAGACTTCTATACTGAAAACTACAAAATATCATTGAAAGAAAGTACAGAAGACCTAAATAAATGAAAAGACATCCATGTTCATGGATTGGAAGACTTAATATTGTTAACATGGTAATTCTCTCCAAATTGACCTAGAGATTGATTACAATCCTTATCAAAGTGCCAGCTTCCAATTTTGTATAAATTGATAAGCTGTTCCTAAAATGTATATGGAAATGTAAGATATCCAGAATATTCAAAACAATCTTGAAAAAAAAACACAGTGAAAGGATTTATACTTCCTGATTTCAAAACTTGCTACAAGCCTATAGTAATCAAGACTTTGTGGTATTGACATAAGGATAGACATTTAGATCAACCAAATGGGATTGAAAGTCCAGAAACAAACATATACATTTATGATCAATTGATTTTCAACAAAAGTATCAAGAGATTTCAATGGGAAAGAACAGTCTTTTCTACAAATGGTATTGGGACAACTGGATATCCACATGCAAAGAATAAATTTGGACCACTACCTCACACCATATACAAATAATTAACATGAAATGAATCAAAGACCTAAATATAAGAGCTGAAACTAGAAAATCCTTAAAAGAGTTAGCAGCCAAGGAAAAAACATATGAATTGTATTCATCAATGTTAAAACTTTCATGTATCCAAGGACATTATGAAGAAAAGGAAATGACAGTCCACAGAATTAGAGAAAATATTTGAAAATCATATCTGATAATGGTCTAATACTCAGAATATAGAAAGAACCCTGGAAACTCAACAATAAAAAGACAAAAACTTAGATGCAAAAATAAGGAAAGAATTTATAGAGATTTCTTCAGAAAAGATTTATAAAGGGTCAAAAAGCACATGAAAAGATATTCAAAATAATTAGTCATGAGGGAAACATAAATCATAATGAAATAATAAATCACACCCACTCGGGTGGTTATAACCAAAAAAGACAATAGTAAGTGTTGACAAGGGTATGGAGAACTTTGAACCCTTACACATTGCTAGTGTGGATGCAAAATTTTTACTTTGAAACCAGTTTGGCAGTTACTGAAAAGGTTAAATATAGAGTTACCATATGATCCAGTAAATATGCTCTTAGCTATATGCCCAGAAAATTTAAAACATATTTTTACATAAAAACTTGTATATGAATGTTCATAGCAGCACTCTTAATGATCAACTGAAAATAGATAAGCAAATGTGGTATATCCATATAATGAAATATTATTCAACCATAAGAGGAAATGAAGTGCTGATACATGCTACAACATCAATGAGCCTTGAAAATATTATGCTAAACAGAAGAAGCCAGACACAAAAACTATATGGTGTATGATTCCATTTATATGAAATGTTCAGAAGAGACAAAGCTACAGAGACAGAAAATACATTAATGGTTGGCAGGGACTAAGGGTGGAGAATAACTGCTAATTTCTTTTTGAAATAATGAAAATGTTTTGGAATTAGATAGTGGTATGGTTGCACAACCTTTGAATATACTAGAAGTTATTGAATTGTACTGTGTAAAGGGGCAAATTTTAAGGTGTGTGAATTTTTTTATCTCAAGAAAAATGAATAAAAAGTAAATGCAATAAAATTAATAAATAAATCATTGAAAATATCTGATGGCATGTTGTATGCAAGACAACTGGTATGCTGAGGTTGTTTTTGTTTTGCTTTGTTTTAGCTTTGGAGCCCTTCCTTTAAACAAACGTCATAGTGCACCCCCACCTGAATAAGGCAGCACAGCCATGACTGAAGAGGGCAGCGGGCTGAGAGCCTCCTTTTTGGCCTTCTCCTCTTCTTGCAACAAGGAGCTCTGGAGTCTGAGAGCTAAGTCTGAAATACAAGGGCATGTGTGTGAGCCAAGGAGTCCAAGAGCCTCGAGATTGAATCTTAGATCTGTAACTTTCACAATTTGGATTTTGCAGGTTGCTGTAGCCCTCAGGACTCATGCTTTCTCACAGTGCTGTCGTGAGGGTTAAATGAGATAATGGATGTGAAGACCCTGGCATGACAGTAAGTGCTCTGCCACACACCCTGACTATACTTTCACCAGGTATTTCCAGAAATGTTTTCAGCATTTTCTTAATATATCAGAAAGAAGACAACAGAACTGACTTCCTTCTTCAAGACAGATGGAGCAAGTCAACAGGTCAAGGTACTAAACCACTTCATGGTTCTTCACAACTTTTTGTTCTGTTAGTCTACGGGGAAAACTCTTCTTTTCATACCATTATCTGCAGAGAAAGATAGTACTTCAGCAAGTGACCAAGTTCAAGAACATCTCCAGGTCCATGACCATACAGAGAGGTATACTCTACTCATTCTGTGCTCCAGCTCTTGCGAACCTTAGCCTTTCTCCTGGGAGCTAGGAATAGTTAACAAAGTGAAAGTGGCACCCCAGTTAGTGAATTACCTGAGTCTTTCCTGAGAAGCCAAGACCACCTCCCTCTATGGCTCACTTTTGGTTTCTTTCAATATGTCCCTTTGAAGATATTTCTCTCTGATTGGAGAGGTAAAAGGAGCCAGGATTGCTTCTGAGGTTGGTTGGGCCCAGTCAGTCTGATGAACACATTGGGCTTCCTGGATTAAGCTTCAGAAGGTCAAGATTGAGTGAGACTTACTACAAAATCAAAGGAACTACTTACCCTTCTTTTATTCTAGGTCCTCAAGCCTGCTTTTAACTTGAGCACATAAATTTCTCCTTGTGGTGGGGCATAACATAGCAGGGATGCCATGGCTTGGAGCTAGAGCTTCACAACATTATGTCACATATCCATGGAGCAACAGTGCCCACCGCATAGTGCGACCATGCGGGTGAATGAGCCGAGCTTGTGAAGATCTTGGCACCAAACACAGTGCATTGCCCAGATCGTTTTTGACAGTAGAAATGGTGATTTCTTTATCAGAAATCAGACATTGTATTTGTTCTCCTTTTGATTAGCTGTATTCCTCTGAGGGCAGAGACTTTGCTTGTGTTATTTATCTCTGTATCTCTAGCACCTAAAAAGAGCTTTGCACAAAGTACATGCTAAATTTATATGAATGAATGAATGAATGAATGAAAAGCATGAAATAAATATCAGTTGAATGACTGATTCACATCTGTCTAGTGGTACACTCACCCCTACCTAAGGCTGCAGTCAGGTGCCCTTTGGCTCCCTTACACTTCTTGTGAGGTACTGTTACTAAAAGGTCAGCCACCAGGTGAACGAGGACAAGTAGTTGAAAGAAAAAGATTATTTATTACTTTGTCGGCAAAGGAGGAAAAATGCCAACTATCGTCCCCAAATCCAATGTTTCCTTCCTCGTAAGGAAAAATACAAAGCTTTAAATGGAGAGGGTTCTCAGGTTCAGGGTGTTGTTGTCAATTCTGTTGATGGTTCTGATCCTTTTATATCCAGAATCTATCGGGAACTCCCCCCCCCCCCCCCCCCCCCATCCCCCCTCACCGGTCTGGAGCCAGGCAGGAGCAGCTGGGGATCTCCCCACTGCCTCCCCACCCTCCTCCCTGTCTCCTGCAATGCAGACAACAAAGAAAACGCTCCCCTGGCCCGCCCAGCTGCGGTGACAGTCAGGGAAGCCAATTTTACCGAGAGAAGAAAACACAGTTTTTTCCCCCTCTTTTTCAGGCCATCCTCTCAGTTACAGTACTGGGCAGTAAAGGTGCAATGCTGAGCATCGATTCAGAAAAATCTTGGGTTGAATCCTGGATTTGCTACTTAATAATGCAGCAAACAATTTTGAACATGGACTGTGCCAAGCAGTAAGTTTCCACTTCACACATAGTGTCACATTTCATCTCAATATCTACAGTATAGGCCTTGTACTGTGATCATCCCCATTGTGCAGATCAGAAAGCAAAGACTCGGAGAGGATGAGTAAGTACCTCATCCAAAGGTAAGTACTTCATAGCAGAGCCAAGATACAAACTCAGATTTAATTGCAGCTTCCTGTCCATTGACCATTTGCACTATTTCATAAACTCTGAGCTTTAGTTGTCCTTTTTACTTTCTACTCCTCTTATTTCAGCTCCTATGGTTTGTATATTTCTATTCATGGGGACAGGTATTAGATTCAGGCCCTATATCCTGAGACACAGAACAAGTTCTTCCTCCACACTTCAGGAAGTGTGGTCCGCTACGCTACTGCACATAAGCAAGGAGGAGACCGGCAGGCTGTGGCAGGATTAGAGTGAGACTAAGCTCAGTTTATCATGTGAGGCCTTCTGGCAGCTATACTCCTTTCTTTATCTGGGCACTTACTGTTTCCCTGCTGCAGTGGAAACTCCACAGGGTCAGGGGTCATGACCTTCTTGGTCACACTGTGTCCCCAGTGCTGACTCAGCACCTGGCTTGTTGTAGGTGTGCAATGTGTGTGAGTGTGTGTGAGAGAGGTGGTGAGACAGAGAGACACAGGGAGAGAATAAATAAAACTTTACCAGCTGAATCAGAGAAAAGCAGGCAAATGACTTCCCATTTATTCAAAATCTGATGCACCAAGCACTGTGCTAAAAACACATCAAGATGTCATAAAACCCATGCACTTAACTTCATGCACTATACCCACATCCGGAAATCCTTAGGTATTTCATTGTAGTCTATGCAGTCATACGCAGTATTTCATTGCATAATAGTCTTGACAACTGTAACAAGCAACCGAATTCCCACCCATCAGATTACAAGTAGCATATTTGAGCTGTTACAAATGCCATTTGTGGATGTGAGACAGCAAGAAGTGGCATCCTTATGTAAAAATATAAACCATATATAATAAGAAAAAAATTTAATATGAATATTCAGGTCTCTGCTTTTCAGGGTGTGTATGTTTCCTGGGCTTTTGTTGTGTAGAAGAGGGATTGTAAGTGAAGAAGAAAGAAGAGCAGATGAGAACAAAGGAAATGGAGAGACACACTAACAAAGCTACATTTGAAAAGAGCATATGGTGTTCTGAGAACAGGTGAGGAAGACAAGACTTAAACAAGTTTTCCTGGAGTTGTGAATGTATTTCTCATTTACCATTTTGAAAACCCTTTTATTTTGATATAATTTTAGATTCATAGGAAGTTGCAAAGATTGTGCTGAGAGGTCTCCCTGTACCCTTTCCTTTACATTAGTTTTTTTTGAGAAATTGGGTCTGGAGAACAGTGGCTATTCACAGTCACCATCACTCACTGCAGCCTCTAACTCCTGGCCTCAAGTAATCTTCCTTTCTATTTGTTTGTTCATTTTTATTTATGTGTTTGAGAGGCTACTCTCAAGGGTTAAATTGTTTGGCTATTAGACAGGTGTTTTCTCTGACTGGGAGACCCAGCTGTGATTGGCCCTGTAAAGGTTCAACTTATTTATGAGCCATGTTAAAAAAAAAATATATATATATATACATATATATATATATTAATTTAAAAAGCCTATCAGTTGAAATATATTCCATGTGCACAAAGCCCTAAAAAAACCTAAATAGATTCTGAGAAAAATCTACATACTCCACGCAATGATTGATGTCAATAATTATGATCACAAATCACACAAAGGTTTGTGATTTCTGTTTAAGGAAGCAACTCTACACCCCAAACTGTAAACAACCCAAATGTCCATCTATAGGCAATCAGTTAAATAAATTATAATACATTTATGCAATGGAAGACTAAGCAGATATTAAAAACAATGAGGTATATGCATGTAGATACTCATGGAAAATGTCCAAAGTGTGGTATTCAGTTTTTTAAAAATACTGCAAAAAAACCCAACGTCTTTAATATAACCTCATCTTTGTGTGTGGGTGTTTATGAGTGAGTCATCACGTAGCTCCACTTTGTCTAGTCCAGAGGTCACTTTTTGTCATTTTACTTCATCTCAGAGTAGCACATGATACAGTTAATGACTCTTCTTTCTTCAGATGCATTCTACTTTTGCCTCTGCAACATCATATTCCTGGGTTTTCTTCCTTGTATTCCTCATCCATCTCTTCTCCTCACCCTCTCCTGTGAATGGAATGCCCTGTGGCTGGGTGCTGGACGCTATTTATAACTTTTGTGGTTTTACTTTCTCCCTAGGTGATTTCATAGGGTCTCCTGACTTTAAATACCATCCAAATGCTCTGAGATTTATATCTCCAGCCCTGACCTTTTCTCCTTAGTTTCAGACTCATACTCAGATTTCTGATAGGTCTCCCAAATTTCAAATGTCCAAATAGTATTCTGAGCTGTGTTAAGTAATAAGTAACTGAAAACAAGAGTGACACTCAACTGAGGTTTATTAAGCCAAAGTCTGAGGCCGTGCCCAGGAAAAGTACTTACCACAAAATGTCTGTGGACTGGGCTCTCAGCAGAGGGATTGAAGAATTCTGTATTTAAAGGAAAGGGTATACAGGGAAAAAACAAAACAAAAGGGGGAAGTGGGGTGAGCAGTGAGGCAAATGATTGCATTCAGGTGAAGCTCTATGTACTGCTCAGTAAATCTACATTTTACATAAGATGGACATTAAAGAAAAAGGGAGTAGATGAAATAGTCAATTTTGCAGTCTTCTAGGGGTGGGTAGAAGAGGGATTGATCTTCTCTCTTCTGTGGTCTATCTCTGTTGATAAGCTTGTAATTGACATTCAGGAGTTTAGGCTACAGTCCTAGGGTTGGAATTGACATGTGCTTGTTTTATAGGGGGCTATATATCTTGAAAGGTTTTTAGGGCTGAAGGAAATCAGAAATATCTGACCCCAAAATACATCTCTTTGACACATTTTGAGATAGCAGAAATAATGCTACCAAGCTGCCTTTGGGGGATGGGGGTGGGGGTGCCTGGGGTGAAATTTGCATCTGTAGAGAATCTCCATTAAATGCAGCCAGGTCCTGCTTATACAATCCAGCAAAGATTAACTGAGAGTCTGACACATTTAAGGGTCTGAACAGAAACATCTACTGTCTATTCTTCCTGAGGGCTGTGACTGTGAGGCTTATCTATATGACAAGACCATCTTTGCTAGCTAGGCTTCTTTTCTCCCATAACCTGTCCACCAAAACCCTGCTTAGTCACCCTCCAAGCCCGCCCCCTCCCACTTTTTACAAAAAGCTTCTGTACCTCCTAGGAGTTGAGCCTGGGGGGAAGGTGGCAGTGCTTGCAGGACTCAGTTCCCAAGCCCAGTTCTCCCTTTGGCATAATGAGTTTTGGGGTCCTGAGATTTTTATTTTTTCCTTCACACCTGTTGCCCTCCAAAATCTCTCTCCCCACTCCCCACTCCCAAGCATCCCTGTATGAACTGGCCTTTACCTCCTTTATTGTCTTTTGTCTTAGCCAAATTTTCCCTCATTGACTCTGCTTTAGTAGGATACTCTCTTCTCTCATGGTCCTTAGACACATGGAGTTTATCCTTGACCCAGGACCTTTGCATTTGCAGCTCCCTGGTCATGGAATATTCTTCCTTCTGATTTTCACATGTCATCCAAATAGCAATGTCACCTTTTCAGAGAGTCCTTCTCTGATCCCCGTATCTAAGGTTGCCTTCTTCCCCCAATAGCTCTCTTTACCCTGTTTTATTCATAACACATTGTATTATCTGTCTCTTCACTGAAATAGAATCTCCATTAGAGTAGGAAGCCTATCTTGTTAATAATGCCTATAACCAGAGTACCTTTCAACAGTTCTTGGCACATAGTAAATGCTCAATTGATACTTATGTTTGCCTAGAAATGAAGTTTGGAAGAATATGTGCCCAATGGCTAACAGTGTTTACCTCTGAGTGGGGAGTAATGTGGGGGGTAAGTCATGAATTCATGTTCACTTTCTACCAAGATATATTTCAGTAGTCTTAAATTATTTGAAATGAAATGTGTAACTTTAATAATTAGAAAAATTAATAGACATTTTAATTACAAAAATGGTAGATAAAAAAATTTTTTTTTTGAGACCTTTCTTGCCTAGACTAGAGTGAGTGCCATGGCGTCAGCCTAGCTCACAGCAACCTCAAAGTCCTGGGCTCAAGCAATCCTCCTGCCTCAGCCTCCCAAGTAGCTGGGACTACAGGCATGCGCCACCATGCCCGGCTAATTTATATATATATATGTATATATATATATATATATTAGTTGGCCAATTAATTTCTTCCTATTTTTATAGTAGAGACGGGGTCTTGCTCAGGCTGGTTTTGAACTCCTGACCTTGAGCAATCCACCCTCCTCGGCCTCCCAGAGTGCTAGGATTACAAGCGTGAGCCACCGCGCCCGGCCAAGGTAGATAAAATTTTGATGCTTAAAATAAGCTATATTTATCTCGAAGATGCATATGTGTGGAATACTCTCTTTCTTAAGGATGTTAGGTAAGTAACGTGTTACTATATGTTGTAAACTATCTATGATTTTGCAAAAGCATTGCATGAAGCAACATAAATGTTTCACCCAGTTATCTTTCTTCTGAACTTCATCATTGTTATCTTTCTGGCAAATCATTTAATTTGATTCTTCTTCAAAAGGTAAAAAAATCAAATTAGTAGCTTGATAAAAAACTTGAACTTGTTTTTCTTTAAATTATTATATTTTACATATTTATTAGATATGTTCATCTTGAACAGATATATTTCTTCTTTTTATAGACATACCAAACTCGTAATATTGGCTGTTGTCCCCAAGTCCGAATGTTAAGTCAACATGTGTTTGGGAGACCTTCAACTTATCGAGTATTGCAGGTTTCTGATTGTTTTGGAACCTCTTCTGATACCTGTGGACTTAGTTCAAGGCCAGTTAATACCCTACTTTTTTTTCTAATAAAATGAATAAATGGCTAATTGTTTGCTTTGGTCACCCAAGTTCAAGTTAATGGATCAGGGTTATATGTCTATAAAAAGCCTAGCTTGAGTCTTTGTTCAGTGACATCCTTATTCTTCTAATCAGAGATTCTCCTCCTCAGAAGTTTTACACTAGATTTGCAAAATGATGAGCATGTCTTTGATCTGGGGGATTGTTGCAGCAGTGTGCTGTTGTTTATGGCTGATTCTTGGAATTAGGAGAAGGTAAGGAAAGTTTTATCTTTAAATTGCCTTTTAGTGCATTCATTTAATGTTCTTTTACCTTAATTATGATACAATAAATTTGGTTTTCTATACTTATACACATTGGCATTTTCTTCTTCAATTTTTTAATTAAAAATTTCATTTAAATTTTAAAAATGATATATTTTCAACTGTGTCTAACAAAATATATAATGTCAGTTCTCTTTTTAGTATTGGCATATACTAATGGTAATGTATGAATGTATATACTTGTTAAACTTAACTGACAGAAACGGTATACGATCTCTGTGTGTGTTTATGTGCATATGTAAAAAGGACTCCCAAATTAGTAATGATACAAGTAGCAAGTAGAAATCTGTAAGGGAAAGGGTTTCTATCACGTAAATTAAATAGATGCTCTGACTAAATATTCTCTTTTCAGCTCATTCTTGTGCATAGACTCAGCCTAAGCCTGGACAACAGCATGAAGCCTGAGTTGAGCATTCCATTATTCTTTTCTTATTAATGTTCATCAACCCTGGTGAATTGGGAAACTTTGCTAAGTGTGTGGGACATCAATTTGATTTATTTACAGTTGATTCAAGAATACAAGAAAAACAAATAGAGTCAGATCCAGAGCCATAGTTTATTTAACTTCTGATTGGCTCAAAGAGTATTTGGATGGGAGGGCATATAGATACTCTGATATGTCAACCTCAAAAAAAGAAAACAGCCCCCAACATATCCTCAGCTATGTGGATTGCTGTGTGTTGTTTACCTTTTGCAAGTTTCTTTGTATGTTAAGGTACTTTAATGTAGGCCTAATAGTTTGTAGGTTTTTGGTTTTTTGTTTTTGAGACAGAGTCTCACTTTGTTGCCCAGGCTAGAGTGAGTGCCATGGCTTCAGCCTAGCTCACAGCAACCTCAATCTTCTGGGCTCAAGCGATCCTACTGCCTCAGCCTCCCAAGTAGCTGGGACTACAGGCATGTGCCACCATGCCTGGCTAATTTTTTGTATATATATTTTTAGTTGGTCAAGTAATTTCTTTCTATTTTTAGTACAGACGGGGTCTCGCTCAGGCTGGTTTCAAACTCCCAACCTTGAGTAATCCACCCGCCTCAGCCTCCCAGAGTGCTAGGATTACAGGCGTGAGCCACCACGCCTGGCCTAGTTTGTAGTTTTAATTAAACTATCTGCAAACTAAGAAAATAAAAATAATTACTTTATACTATGCTATTCTATCAAGTGGGACAGTAGTTGATGTTGTAAAATAAATTTATATTTCCTAATAAAAACATTTTAAAACAGTATGAAAGAATATTGAATTATAATTGATGATCCTGTCAATGTTACTCAACTTCATTTTATAATGAAATAATTTCTCAAATGACATTCTCCTTCTCTTCAATTATTATTACAGAAAAATAATATCTGTAAACTTTTAAGACTTCGAAAATTTCAATTCTGCAATTCTCTCTATTACTCAGTGTTCTGTATCTTTAAAGAAAACAATCAAATGAAACATTTTGAGATACTTAGGCAAATGATGCTTAGGAAAAAATATATACACTAGAATGTAATTTAGTTTATACACTGAGTGTAGGAATCTTATTGGCCTTATAGATCCTTGTACTCCAATCTTTAGAAAAGTGACTAGGACATAGTTCATAAGTGTTTGTTGAATGTATACATGGATGGATGAATGGATGGACTTAGTAATCATTTTCACCAACGTATCATGTTACTAGGTTAACATAATCTATTATTGTAGTAAGAGTAGGGCCCCATTAGTGAAAGAAGTATCTATAAATGGTAGAGTTTTTAAGTTTGAAGTCAGTGGTAAAAATTTGTAAACCTAATGTAAATAAAAAATCACATGTGCAATTATCCATAGCTATCATACATTTGTGTCTTATAGGCAAAAGGGTGAACCACCTCTAGAGAATGGGTTGATTCCATACCTGGGCTGTGCTCTGCAATTTGGTGCCAATCCTCTTGAGTTCCTTAGAGCAAATCAAAGGAAACATGGTCATGTTTTTACCTGCAAACTAATGGGAAACTATGTCCACTTCATCACAAATCCCTTGTCATACCATAAGGTGTTGTGTCATGGGAAATATTTTGATTGGAAAAAATTTCACTTTGCTACTTCTGCAAAGGTAACCAGTTTTGTATTTATATAGCATTCTGTTTTTTTTTCCCTACCTTTTTATATGCCAGTCTATTTAGTAATTTTGATGTACTTAGATTTGGAGATATAGGTATTGAAGAAAATTATCCTTATGTGGAAATTTCTAGAAACATAAATGAATCAAAGTAGACATGGCTTCTTTGTGTTAATCATTAAAAGTCAAAACAGTAATAGATTTGTCATTTGTTAACCAGCTAATGAGGGTAAAATAAAGGTTAAATCCTTTACCGAGCCGGATGAAACCGTACGAGGAAGATAGGTACAAATTTATCATATCCATAGAGTCTACACAGCACCCAGAATGCATGCGGTGGAAAACTTAACATTTAATGATTGTTTTTTACCACACTCATGCCACACACATGCTCCACTTTGTTAAGGAATTGGCTAGATATTTTAGCATTCCTTGGATGTAGCCTAAGAAGCTCTATGATAGAGAAAAAAAATAGTCAATAATTACTGAGTTTCTGCAAAGAAATGTTAGACATGGTCTTTGCCACTAAGCTAAAAGTTTGGTTAAAATACATCCATGAAGAATGTAAAAGAGAAACTAATGATCTAAAAACATTGTCAATGAGCTAATGTGCAAAAGTGTGCAAATAAGTTCAATAGCATAAGAAATAACAAATAGATGAATTAAGTGGTCCAGGGAGTTTCACTGGAAAAGAGGAATTTAAACTGGGCCCTAAAAGAGAGGTATGATTTGGCCATTTATTTGTGAACTACTAGGAAACTGGGTGTGGGGAGGCCCATTTCCCTTTTTTGACAAGTAGAGAATCATGAAAGTATCTAATCGATGTTTTGGTCATTTACTAGTACTAGGTCAGGTTTAATTTCTTCTTTTCACATTTTATTTGCTGTCAGGCATTTGGGCACAGAAGCATTGACCCAAGTGATGGAAATACCAGTGAAAACATACAGGACACTTTTACCAAAACCCTGCAAGGCGATGCCTTGAATTCCCTCACCGACGCGATGATGGAACACCTCCAGCTTGCCATGAGACCCGCGGTCTGGTCTCAGCCGCAGGCGGCCGCCTGGGTGACGGAGGGGATGTATTCCTTCTGCTACCGCGTCATGTTCGAAGCGGGGTACTTGACCCTCTTCGGCAGAGATCTTGCGAGGAAGGACTCACAACGCGCACACATTCTGAACAAGCTCGACCACTTCAAGCACTTCGACAGGGTGTTCCCGGCGCTGGTGGCCGGCCTGCCCATCCGCGCGTTCCGGGCGGCGCACCGCGCGCGGGAGCGGCTGGCGCAGAGCCTGCGGCACGAGCGGCTGCGGCGCAGGGCCGGCGTGTCGGCCCTGGTGCGCCTGCGCATGCTGCTCAACGACTCGGCGTCCACCTTCGACGACCTGGAGAAGGCCAGGACGCACCTGGCCGTCCTCTGGGCGTCGCAGGCAAACACCATTCCGGCGACTTTCTGGAGCTTATTTCAAATGATTAGGTGACTAGCAACCCACCTGTTTCTCTCTTTGCTTTTTTCCTTTTTCTTTAACCATTTTAGCTTAAAAAAAAAAAAGTGATAGTACTTTCCCGTGTCATCGTCTAGAATGCAGCCCTCACGCTTGCAAGTGTTTAGCACGCATCAGCTCACGCACCCTCCCGAAACCGTCAGTCGCCGTGACCGGTGGGCGTGGTTTGCAGGACCAGGGACAGCCCCGGAGGAAGGGACGTCCTCCAGGCCACGGAGCTCGTGTGTGGCGGAGCCAGCCCGCCAGCTGGCCCGGAGCCCTTGCTCTCGGCCCCACTGTTGCTCCCCACGCTCCCGGCGGAGCTCTGTGAATGCAGGCTTCACGATCGTAAAAGTGTGTTTAGGTGATTCCTGACTTCTGGGCAATGACCAGGGCAGTGCCTGTGCCTCATTCATTTGCGCATTCACAATTTGTTCTTTTGCTCAGTTAGTAATTGTTGTCTTACTGTTTATTTGACCAACTATGATAGGTATGAGTCAATCATAATCTACTATTATTGATAAGGGATTGAGCTAGGTTTTGCCTTTTAAAATTGTGTGTGACAAAACAATTGTACACAACATACTTTATATAGCATGATTTCTTTCCAGAGTGTTAGTGTTTGGGGAATTTGGAATTAAAATGGTTTATTGGATTATTCCAATTAAATTGGATATTTAATATCATGTAGACACAAAATTACTATTCCAGGATTGGGAATGCTAAATTTCCATTGATGGCTGATGATTTTATACAAAAAATATTAAAATTTAATGCATATATAAACCCATTATTAATTTGTCACAAATATTAAAATATCTTCCAAAATTATTACTTGAGAAAGCTCCTCCATAACAAATGCACACATTTACAGGAATGGTATTAATATCAATTTAATATCATGAAGATAATCATAGCCATATTTTATGATAGTCATACAAGTACTTATCAGTCAAACATTTCCCAGACTCAATTGTTACTGTAACTATGTAATACAGATCCCCTAACCATGGGACTGAGGCTCTAATAAAGATGCATGCACAAAAATGAAGTAGCCCTCATTTCATAATTCACAGTTATAATATAAATGGAAAAGCTGTTGTTCTACCTGAAATCATGGTATGAATTTTAAGAGTGAATTTTAAATTTCCATTTGGAATTTCATCAGTCAATACTTTATAATTGTTATCTTAGATGCAATTTTCCCTCTAAATTACTGTCTAAATATGACTACTCTGTCTAACCCTTATTGGAATCATTTATTTATAGAAGTCTGACTAAGGTTTCACTCTTTTGTAGCAAAGCCCCCCCCTTTTTTTTTGAAACAGAGTCTCACTTTGTTGCCCAGGCTAGAGTGAGTGCCATGGCGTCAGCCTAGCTCACAGCAACCTCAATCTTCTGGGCTCAAGCAATCCTGCTGCCTCAGCCTCCTGAGTAGCTGAGTCTACAGGCATGTGGCACCATGCCCGGCTAATTTTTTCTATATATATTAGTTGGCCAATTAATTTCTTTCTATTTATAGTAGAGACAGGGTCTTGCTCTTGCTCAGGCTGGTTTTGAACTCCTGACCTTGAGCAATCTGCCCGCCTCGGCCTCCCAGAGTGCTAGGATTACAGGCGTGAGCTACCGTGCCTGGCTGCAAAACCTTTTAAAGTGACCATTCTTGCTAATATCCAAAGACATAAACCCAATTACAAATGGAGTAAAGCAAACAGAAATGTTCCTTTTCCTCCTTCCCTGGCATCTTGACCACCTCCTTAAAAAGTGGGGAGAGGGGGCGGGGGGAATGCCTATGTGTTTGCAGATCTTAGGATGTGGAAAAGGTTATTTTCTGTACATCTTTTCTTTTCTTTTAACTTTTAATAGGAATCCTGAAGCAATGAAAGCGGCTACTGAAGAAGTGAATAAAACATTAGAGAATGCTGGTCAAAAAATCAGCTTGGAAGGCAGTCCTATTTGTTTGAATCGAATGCAGCTGAATGACCTGCCAGTACTCGGTGGGTGTGCTTGCTATGCTACGTTTCATTTACCGTGTCCTACTACTAACAATAACGGGCAACATATATTGTGCACTTAACTGAGTTCTAGGCATTAAGCTAAGTATTTCGTATGAGTTCTCATTGAATCCTCACAACAATACTATGACTTAAGACTATTATTATTTCTATGTATCAAGAGAGGAGCTGACACCTAGACATTGAGCTACTGCCTGGGAATTGAATGATGGGACCAACTGCAGTGTTAATATGGTATTCTTGAGCCTATGCGCTCAGCCACCACCCTGCACTGGCCCACCACATCTCCTATATTTCTCTTTGATCTTATGGTTAATGGAAGCATCTTATTCATCTCTGTAAAACAAAGTGGGGAAAAGTACCATCAAGAGACCACAATTAGCTGCATAGATTGAGTGATGGAATTGAAGTAAAGGCTATTTGATTTTTTTTCTTTGTTTTGCTTTTCTATATTTCATAAAAATACAAAAGTATATGTTTATAGTCAGAACATTTTTTTTTCTTTTTGGTTCTGTTATTTTGTTTAAAGAAGTGAAACTAATATGTGCTATTAGGGGCAGTGTGTCTTTGCAGAAGGGACAGGGGCAAGAAGCTTAAGTTCCTATTGGGCCCGACCTGGGAGACCTTGGACATGCCACTTCTCTTTTAGGGGCCTTACTTTTCTTATTTGTAAAATAAAGGTCCAACATTCTGTGGTTTCATACACAGTCACATGATGAGCACCTAAAACATGACAGTTAAAGGATAAGGCTAGAGGCCAGGCTGGCCCTCTCATGAGATCTCTGTACTTCGGCCATTCTCTGGGTGGTTCTATCGTCCCTTTGCATGTTTGCCAGGCGCTGGGCATCACCATACAGCGTCAGGTAGTGGATGGATAAAAACTTGTGTTTGTAAATACTGAATTGAAGCTGCATTTAACACCTGGAAAAATATATCTATGTAAAAGTGTTATCAGTATATTAAATCTCAAAAGTGATAAACTTTGAATAATTCATATACAGATGAGTTATTGATTTTTCCAATTTTATGAGATGTTTAGTGTCATATAGAAACAAGGTTATTTTTCCATAAAACGTTGGAAATCTATTTCCCATTAATGACCAAGAAGATTATATCTTTATCAAAAGATTATTATTAACTCAGATGATCGATCAGGTTAAAAAATACATTCAGACACAATTGAGCCATTGATAACAGCATAGTGGTCATAGAAAAAAACTTTGGGAAATTTTTATCTGACCAGCTTTTCATAGTCGGGTTCATCTTTGTGTTGTGGGCTGCCAGAAGTATTTTGGACTCTATATGATGTGGCCTTTAAATACTTGATATGTTCTTTTCCTTCCCTTCCTTCATTCCTTGTTTTCCTTTCTTCCTTTTAAAATATTTAGACAGTATCATCAAAGAATCTCTGAGGCTTTCCAGCGCCTCCCTGAACATCCGGACTGCTAAGGAGGATTTCACTCTGCGCCTGGAGGACAGATCCTATAACATTCGAAAAGATGACATCATAGCTCTCTATCCACAGTTAATGCACCTAGATCCAGAAATCTACCCAGATCCTTTGGTAGGTGACTGCTCATCAAAGTGCAATATCTGGGTGACATCTACCCAGATCTAAATAAAGAGTAAAGTTATAATCATGGAATTGATTTGATCATCATAGCCATGAAGACTGTCTCCTTAATTATGTCGGATATTCATATATTTTAGAAAATTTGGATTGTAGTCTGAGTTTTTAATTTTTAGTCCTGATAATTGTCATCACATAGTCTTTGCTCAATTATATTTGCAATCATGATAATAAAGCAGCCACCTTTCTTTTTGCTTAAAAACACTTGCCCCCAAGTCCAGGAAATTGGAGGCTAATGTATTGACTCATCTAGTTTCTGATGGGTACCCTTTCTTCTCGTTCTGCCTGGCTGAGGAACTAGTCGCCCAGGCAGGATAGGAAGGATCACAAAGCTTTCCTGTTCAGTCAGTTCTTGTTGAGCTCCTGTTCCTTCTTACTTTCTGGTTCAATGTGGGGTCTTTGCTAAATTACTAATAGAGTATATTTAAAAAGAAAATTATTCAAGAAAGAGATATGTTTCTTTAAAAATAGCTTACAGGCTTGTTTTCTTTTTATTTTATTGCAGACTTTTAAATATGATCGATTTCTTGATGAAAATGGGAAGACAAAGACCACCTTCTATAGTAATGGACTCAAGTTAAAGTATTACTACATGCCCTTTGGATCAGGAGCTACGATATGTCCTGGAAGATTATTTGCTGTCTACGAAATCAAGCAATTTTTGATTCTGATGCTTTCCTATTTTGAACTGGAGCTTGTGGACAACCATGTTAAATGTCCCCCTTTGGACCAGTCCCGTGCAGGCTTGGGCATTTTACCACCATTAAATGATGTCGAGTTTAAATATAAATTTAAACATTTGTGAATATGTGGTTGGAAAAAGAAAACTCTGGGTGATATTACTGGACTGCAGAACACCATTACTAAACAGCTCCTTTGGACAAATGCATTTATAGTGGTGGAAATGATTCAGCAGGTCCAATTCTGTCCACCGATGCTTGCTTTGAATCTTAACATTTTGGTGATGATTTCCAGATGCTATCTTAGACTGTGCTAGTAAATAGAACTACTTTCTGGGAGCACAATAATTTGGTTTTATTTATAAGTCAATGAATGTTCATATAGCCAGGGACTGAACTTCATCAGAGGAAAACATCTTTTTTTTCTTTTTCAAAATGAAGATATGTATTTCAATTGGCAGAATTTCTTTTTTCCTAAGGAAACTGCTTTATTTTTATAAAAACCACTCAATAATTATGAAAAGGGTTCAAATTCACGTTTTAGTGAAACTGCATTATTTTTTGACTAGGGTTGGGGTTCTTCAGGTGTGATCATATATCACAAAGGATATTTTGAAGGATTATGCTATGCCTTTTAATAAAACAAATATTTTTCAGCTTTCTCTATATCCACTATTCAGAGCTTTTAAAATGATGATCTTGATGTCAGGTTTCAACTAACTTATCTATATTTTTATTTGATTCCATATTAGTGAGAAGAGTTTTTTTCCAGAGATTAAAAAAGGAATTTTTCTGTCATTAACAAATATGCACCATTGAAAAGAATGTAGCACTTATGTGATACGTTTTTAAAATTAAAACTGGATAAAAATGACCATTTAAAACTATGATTATGAAACATTCAGAGTTCATTAAGTGCAGCTTGACATTGCATTTTATTTAAATGCTTTTTATCTCTAAGTAACTTGCAATTGAAAGAAAAACAAGTCCATGAGAGTTTAAATATTGTGTACAACAATGCTTTGATAAAATATTTTAAGTATTAGAGTTATCAGCTATGATATTTTAATTGATATTTCTGTATATATTTATATGTAAATTATATTTACCTTTTTTCTTGTACTATAGATATTAAGAAAATATTCTAACATTTGACCATTTTGAAATGATTCATCTCTCAGAAATAAAAGTATGAATGTGTATTTTTTAAATTTTGAAATCTTCAGAGTGTGTAAAATATTCACCTACTGAAAAACTACAATAATTTTATTCAGGATTCAAAATATTCATATTTTCAAATATTTTAAAAACAAAGTAATCGTTTACTGAAAAACTCCCTCAAACTACATAAAATTCATTAAATTTTAAAAATCTTGCTATTTAATATTACCATAGAATTATCTCTTAAGTAGGTTATTTTTCAAATCAAGAAAATTTAACTCATTTAGAAATGTTTCAAGATCAATAAAATTCTCTTTTATAACAAACTGTTATAAACTAAATTTCTAAAGTGTTTTCTTAGTAGATTTTATGACTTTCTGAATGCATCCATACATCTCTTCATATCTTTATTTTTGCAGAGCAAGGGTTGTCAGTCGATAGCCCATGGACCAATGGTGCCCTCCTTTGTGCAGCACGAAAGCTAAGAATGGTTTTTATGTTTTTAAACGATTGAAAAAAATCAGAATATTTCATGACATGTGAGAAGTATATGAAGTTCAGATCTGCACATCCATAAGTAAAGTTTTACTGAGACCTAGCATGCCCATTTATTTGCATTGTTGTCTATGGCTGCTCTTGTGGTGCAGTTGCAGAGCTGAGTAGCTGCAACAGAGACCATGTGGCCACAAAGCCTCTGCTAAAATCTGGTCTTTTATAGAAAATGTTTGCCAACCCCTGTCATTTAGCAATCTCAAAGGCTATTTTCTTTTTACTATAATTGTATTAACTTAAAAAATACATTGGTATATGAAATATTTTGTCTTTTTTTTAAGCATATGATGAGAATACATTTAAAAAGTCATGGATATAATTTTACCGTAAACAACATTAACTTAGACCTTTATTAAAGACTAAACTATTCCATTTATAAAAGAGCTCTTTATTTTTAGGTCTTTATTTTTAAAAGGCACCTAAATTAACACATTAACTGCCATGTGAGTTGTATATAACTCACGAGAGTTTTGAGCCAGGGACCTCATGAAACATATGCAACTCACATGTCTCTTTACCTTGGGAGCCGCGTGGTGCGCAGGCAACTCACGCTGCCGTGCTGTAGCGTACGTGTCACGTGATGGGTGGACCCCTGGCAAAACCCTGCAGTTAGTTTGTGAAAATCTTACTTGTTGATGGTCTTACTGTTACAATTAATATTGACAATTTAATTCTAAAAATGTGGGTTAAATGAATAGAAGTCAATAAATTTCATTTTTCCATTCATGTTTATCTTTAAATTACACTTAAGTCCGACAAGTCAAGAAAAACACTTTTTACACTTATGAACTATTTTTTAAGTTTTCACATTACTAATTTTCAAGTTTTTATATTACTTTCTATTGAAAAAAACACAGAAAACAAAAAAAACCAAAACAACACATTTTTCATTAAATTAGAAAGAATTATTTTGTTTTCAAAGATTTTATTCTATTTTTGTAAGGAAAAAAAATTTTTTTTCTAGTGGGGCAATATGTTAAAAACAAAATTGTAGCTTAAATTTATTCAGGATTACTGTGGTGCAGGTCCAGGCTTGACACTTCACATGTGTCATCTCATCATGTCCTCATGAGAGCCCTTTGCGATTTGTGTCACCATTCCCTCTCTATTAGGGAGAACGAGGGATCTCCAGAAAGATTAAGTCGCTGGCCCGGGTCACCATGCTAACAGGTGGAAGAGCTGGGAGGAATGGAATCCAGGTTGTTCCTACCCCAGAGCCAGTTCTTCACTTTGTGGCAAGTCCGAGTGACAGACTGTCTTGACTCAGGTCAGGGAAAAGAGAAGCCACAGCAAACAAAATCCATGATGGCCTTTCTGTCCCTAAATCCCTTGTTTGGGAGTATCACTCGGTCAGAAAGTAGGGGCACTGCAGCTACCAGGCCCAGCCCGCCCAGGGTGGCCAGGCAGGGGGCTGAGGGCCCCGAGAGCCTATGAATACCTACTGAGGAATCAGAGACAACGCCACACTGTGCTCACCACCACCTAGGACGCTGTTTCTTCAACTCGCCAACCACTTGGCAAGTTGTTAATTGTGCAATTTCGTGTTGTTCCTCTTAGGATCAAGGGTATACATTTTTTTTTTTTTTTTGAGACAGAGTCTCACTCTGTTGCCCAGCTAGAGTGCCGTGGCGTCAGCCTAGCTCACAGCAACATCCAACTCCTGGGCTCAAGCGATCCTTCTGCCTCAGCCTGCCGAGTAGCTGGGACTACAAGCATGCGCCACCATGCCCGGCTAATTTTTTCTATATATTTTAGTTGGCCAATTAATTTCTTTCTATTTTTAGTAGAGACAGGGTCTCGATGTTGCTCAGGCTGGTTTTGAACTCCTGACCTCAAGCAATTCTCCCGCCTCGGGCCTCCCAGAGTGCTGGGATTGCAGGCGTGAGCCACCATGCCCAGCCAACGGGAGGCTGAGCAGGAGGATCGCTTGAGCCAGGAGTTGGAGGCTGCAGTGGAGCTATGATCACACCACCTGCACCGGCGCCTGGGTGCAGTGCAAGACCCCGTCTCAAATAAACAAATAAATAAATGGGAGAACTCTAAGCGGGACTACATCACAGATCCATGCTCCAGCCCTAGAAAACTAAACAATGAATGGATTCCTTCACTGGGCTACAAAGCCAAAAGGCCTGGTTAGAATGGGCCTAGACTTCAGGCAGGTTGAACATTTTCTGAGACTTCACTTAATAACAGAGAGTAGAGATAAATAGGAGATTCGGTAAATTAAGGTGTGAATAGGCAAAGAGGACTCCGTCCAGGCTCCACCAGCCTGTGCGGCCCTCCTCCGCCGAGTGTCGGTCGGCCGCCTCTGCCCCAGCGCCGGCGGGCCTGGCAAGCCTGCGCCACCTGCGCCACCTGCGCCACCTGCGCCACCTGCGCCACCTGCGCCACTGCGTGCGTTCCAGCGAACGTCCACGCAACAACGAGCCTGAGGCCGCCGGCCAGCTCTGTCCTCGATTCTGTGTGTAACCTTTCCCCAATGTTTCAACAGCGCGGGAGATCGATGGAGACAAACGGACAGGTCTGTCACTAAAGCAACCAAAAAAGCGTCCCGGCGCGGCCCGCGAGAGGACACCAGGCCGAGGTGCAGAACGCCCCGCGCAAATCCGTCGTGGTTCCCTCACTGTCTTCACTGTGCACAAGACCCCAGTTAGGAGCGTCCGGGGGCGGCACGGTTGGAAAAAACGCGAGTCCTGCCCTGGGGAGCAGGCATTCCTAGGAATCACTCCAAAAGGGTGATGAGGCAAGGGCATTTCCAGCCAAGTTTCTGAGAAACTGCTGAGTCTGCTGGAGTGTCCATGTTTTTCTGTGGCCAAAGCACTCCCTGTGACACCCGATCCGACTCCTGGCGTGTGTCCCTTGGCCCTTGACGCGCGACCTGGAGCACCGACCCAGTGCTTGAGGGCACCGGCTCCGGCTGCCCCACCAGCCTCACCGACACTCTAAGAAAAACTGTGACGTTTTTGCACATATTTCCCTAATTGTGTGTATTTTTGTGTTTTAAAACAACAACTTCTATTCTAGCCAGAGTTGAAGTGAATTTCACTTTGTTTCTTGCCAGAAAAGTAACAAAAGGGCTGCATTTAGCTGTCCCTTTGGCAGTGGAAGAAGAAGATGACGACACCCGTCTCCCCGGCCCTCCCCCTGCTCTTCCCCGCAGAGTCAGAGGGGCCCAGAGCCACAACCCCAAGTTGGAAGCTTGAAAGGAAAATAACCACACACAAAAGCCTTACTAAAGTCCACTTTTTAAACGGTCCCTTCTGAGTGTAAGCAGATGTGGGCAAAGTATTAATAACTGGTGAATCCGGGTGAACAGGGAAGGGTATTTATTCATTGTGTCTTTAAGTATTTCTTACGGTTTGAAATTTTATCAAATACCAAGTGGGGGAAAAGGCTCGGCCCTCCCCTGGAATGCCCTCTTCTCTCCTAAACTCTCATTCAAGCTCCGTAATTCCTTACAACGTCGTTATTAATCTATGATAAATCGCCGAGAACTGTTAAGTGTTGACTCTATATTCTAATTAACTTAGCCACCAAACTCTGGATAACTTCCAATAGAAATGATTCTTTAAAACAGAGTTGAGGATACCAAGGCTTGGGGTATACCTTTTGTTGCATGAAAGTGGGAATTGCCTATATATAGTCATGTGAAAGATTATGAATATTTTTTATTTTTAGTTGATTTATTTTATTCCATTATTTTGTTAGCATATAGCTTTAGAAATACAGAAATGGACTTTGTGGAGTCTATGAAACCTACATGCCTGTGTTTGGGAAGGTGAGGACCTTCCAGTTAAATGTACACGCTTGGTTGCAGGGA